CGCCGACTGGCCCTGGCCTAATATTCTTTGAATGGGGGTGGGGAGGGGGTGGGTGGGGTGTGTCTGGGACCTGCTGTTGCCAACTGCTGTGCAGCCCCCCTAAAAGCAATCCAATTCCATGGGGAGTGGGGAGAGAGAAGTCCTTCCACACATGTCAGCAAGGCTACGCTACAAACCAGAGAACATAAGCCCTTGGTCTGGCATGTGCCTGAGAGATGGGCTCCCTAGTCCTGGCTCTGCCAGGTACTCGCCTCCCGTAGGATCACAGCTACCTGTCGTGGAGCTCCCTACCTGCACAGCACCATCGGGACACGCTGGGCTAAATCAACAAGACAAGAACAGTTCAAAAGGAAAAGCAAAGCACTAACACCTCCCCAGCAGCTGGCAAACGCTGCTCTAACACACCACTTCCATTCTTCACTCGTCTAACCTGCACACCACTACATCTAAAGTGCCTGGGACATCCCCAAGTAAAATCTCACCAGGTTTTCTGAGCAAGTTTGGGGTAAAATGCATCAAGACCTTCCCACACATGTACAGGACAGATTTCCTGAAAAAGCCTCAAATCCTTCCACCAGGTAGCTTAATACGGTATTTCTTTCTAATATTGCTGTTGGCTTCTCTGTAGTAGTAAGCAAGTCCAGCTTTGCTGCTGCTAAGTTGACAGCCTGCAAGCCCACGGTTGAGGTAACAGACAGGTGAGTCGGGGTGTCCCCTGCGCATTGGGTCTCAGCACTGTGACACAGTAATCGTCTCTGGCTGTGCTCCCCAGGTACTGGAGCAGGGGTGGGACAAGGCAATCCAAGAGCAGGAAAGGTTTGAAAGAAGAAAGCACTTAGTAGATTTCCTCTACTTTCTCAGATCGATGTATTTCTCGCTCTTCAGTCCGCCAAAACAGAAAGAGGAGAGAAAAACAAGCAGTTAGGGGTGAACATAAAACCAGGGCCTCCACTGCAGGAGTGTGTGGCAGACAGCAATGCAATGGGGGAGAGCCACCAGCCTGGGACCACCCACCCCGTGGTGGCTGAGCATCTGCCCCAGAGCCAGGGGTGGTGAGAGCGAACTGCTCCCGGGACCAGGGTGAGGTTATCTATTTGTTCGGCCTAAGGCAAGTAAAACCAGAGTGGGCTCAGGCGCTGCATCCTGTGGTTTCACAGGACACACAAGTGTGGCAATTAGCACAGCGACAGTCTGTGAATAGTCGCTCAAGCCTATGGTGGCTCTCGACCCCAGGTGAGAGGTAAGCACATGGCCTGAGAGACTCATCTCATCCTGCCCTCAGAGTTTTGGCTCAGAGATGCTAGAGGAGGGCCCATTCCTGCAGCCCGCGCTCTGACTCCTGGCCAGAGATGTTTATGCAGTTCCTTCTCCAAGAGCCCCCCGGGGAGCACAGCTCCTGCTCCAGGGAGCACAGACGGAGGCAGAGCCAAGCAGGGTGAGCAGTGGACAGCGTGCTCCCAGGAGCTGCCAGGGGCTGGCACGGAGCAGAGTTGCACGTGCACGGTGGAGGGCTGCTCCTACGTCCTGCGAGCAGAGTGCCGTGGCTTTGTCACCTCCCCTCCCTCCCATGGCCCCTCTCAAGTGCTGATGATGGATGATGGAGGCCCATGCGGGGGGGGGCAGTGCTGGGAAAAGAGCAAAGCATTACCTCAATGCACCCCATACACTCCTCGCCTCCACTCCCAGCCCTAGGAG